AAAAAAAAAAAAAAAATAGAGACAGGGTTTTGGCATGTTGGCCAGGCTGGTCTTGAACTCCTGATCTCAAGTGATCTGCCTGCCTGGGCCTCCCAAAGTGCTGGGATTACAGGCGTGAGCCACTGTGCCTGGCCTGATCTGGATTTCTTGATAACTTGTTGCCAAGCCTGGTGGTGGGTGCTCAGCATTTCATACCAGCCCATTCACAGAAGAGCAAACTAAGGCCTGGGGAAAGGGCCTTCTGTGCTGAGGGCTGCCCTAAGGGTCAGAGGGAAGGCCAGGCCCGAGTGCAGGTCCACGTGACCCTGGAGAGGCCCCTTGCCTGCAGCCTCAGTCACCTGTGACATGGTAGAGGCTGGGAGGTGGAGTGTGGTCACACAGTTGGCGGAGCGGGGACGTCCCCTGGGGTGTCAGGGGATGTCTGTACAGCGGGCAGTGGCTGCAGGACAGGCCACGTGATTTGATTGTTCCCAGGAACCTCGCGTGGGGGTCTCTGGGGAAGGCCTGGACCCCAACATAGTCCAGCAGTCTCCTCCTTCTGGGACCCCTACCAGGGCAATCTCACATCTCCTTGAGTGGGGTACAGGAGTTCTTCCAAGTCACCAAGTGGATGCCAGGCCCACATCCTGGCCCAAGGACTCCGAGCTGGAGGCCTTTCCAGAGTGTGCCTGCATCCTCCTGCTACAGCAGCCTCAACCTCCCCAGCTCAAGTGATCCTCCTACTTCAGCCACCAGAGTAGCTGGGACTACAGACGTGTGCCACCATGCCTGGCTAATTTTTGCATTTTTTGTAGAGCCAGGGTTTCAACATGTTGCCCAGGCTGGCCTCAAACTCCTGGGCTCAAGTGATCCTCCCGCCTTGGCCTCCCAAAATGCTAGGGATCACAGGCGTGAGCCACCATGCCCCATTTGGTCTAAACATGTTTATTGAGCCTCTACTGCATTCTCGGGCTGGCCGGGGGCGGAGTCTGCGACAGTGACCCAGCCTGCCTTGATTTTCCCCATCCTCTTCCCCTCGGTGACTGGCAGGGGCAGGTAGAGGAGAGGCGTGAGGCTGGGGTACCCCTCCCCACTCTCCACCCACTCACTCTGTCCTCTCCCTCTTCTCCTCCTAGACAGAGATCACTCCACGCAGCCTGGGACGATGGGGAGGAAAAAAATCCAGATCTCCCGCATCCTGGACCAAAGGAATCGGCAGGTGAGTTCCACCGGGTGGAACAGTGGTTGGGAAAGACATTCCTAGCAGGGGGCGTGGCCTAGGCAAGGGGCTGACCTGACCAATTGAACTGCAGGGGAATGAGGAGGCATGAGGAGTCCTGATGCTGTGTCAGCATTTCTTTCTTTTCTTTTTTTTTTTTTTTTTTTTTTACGCT